TGTGTGTGTGTGTGTGTGTGTGTGTGTGTGTGTGTGTGTGTGTGTGTCTATGTGTGTTTGTATTTGTACCCTAATGAATTCTTTAGGAGATAACAAATTTATAATAAATCACTTAATTTATTGATAATTTGTGTCTGACTTCCAAAAGAATCTAAATTTCCCTATTTAATATTTGTTCATTTTGTTCATTTACTCATTTATTTAAGAAACATTTACTGAAGACTTACTCTGTGTCTGACATTGTTTTAGGTACTGGGTCAAAAAAAAGATGAAAATAACTCTATCTTTGCCCAGAAGGTATTTATCATCTTTTGAGGTTAACTATCTCTAGCAAAGTCAGGGCTGGGGCCTTTCTTATATTACTAGGGCTCCCTCTAATTCTCTTATCATAGCATCTTAACATGCCGTATTGTCATTATCTGCTTACTTGCCTGTATCCCCCAGTAGATTGTAAACTCTGTGACTTCAGGTACTGTTGCCTCTCCAATGCTCTACTCTCAGTGTCAAACACAGTGTCTGGAACATAATAGATGTATGTTTCTAGTACATATGCTTTATCAAGTTAAGGACATACTTTTTTGTTTTTAATTCTTGGTTTGTTAAGATTAAAAAAAATCATTAATGGGTATTGGATTTTATTAAATGTCTAGTCAGCATTGAAGATCAGTTTAAAAAATATTACAAATTACACCAATGGATTTTCTTTTTAAAAAAAATTTATTTTTTTATATAGCAGGTTCTTAATAGTTATCCATTTTATACATATTAATGTATACATGTCAATCCCAATCTCCCAATTCATCCCCCTGCCCCCCGCCCCTCCCCCCACCCCACCCTCCACTTTCCCTCACCAATGGATTTTCTAATGTTGAACTGTCTTTGCATTCCTGGGATAAGGCCTACTCGCTTATAATATATTATGATGGATTTGATTTGTTAATTATAAAAAAAGATCTTGGCATATAATTGCTACATTATATTTTTGGCTTATTGTTCATTGGACAGTTTGCCAGCAATAATATTCATTCATTCAGCAAGTATTTTATGTGTGTCTGTACCAAGTTGTGCAAGGTAATAGAAATTCCTGACTTTTGTATGAAACTTATTGTAAAAGATCTTTTTTTCTATTTATTTTGCATGATTGAGAATATATCTTATGTACATTTCAGACCCTTTAAAGAAAACCTTACATTATCTCAAATATAATTTTGTGTCATTTTAAACCTTTAAAACTGGGTCCCATAATTTGTCATATTGATTTACTCAGATTCATTTAACATTCCCACCATGGTGCATGTGGGAATTCCATTTTTTTTCACAAAAGCAGAGCCTGCAACAGACTTGGAAGGAGGTGTTTGGGAAATGATCCCAGGAGCAGTATTAAAAAAGGATGGAGACTGAGTTAGGGAAGCAGAGGTGAATTATCAAGGCAGGTAGCTCCTGCTGTAGGTAAGGGGCTTCATTCCACCTGGACCCCTAGGAAGAATGCAGCATGCCTCCCAGAATTGTCCACATATTGTCTAGCATGCATTGCATAATTTCTTTATTCATCATTGGTGGACATTTAGATCATTTCCAGCTTTTGGCTATTATGAATAATTCCGCTGTGAATATTAGTATACAAATCTATGTGTGGACACATGTTTCGTTTGGTAAATACCCAGGAGTGGACTGTCGGGTTATCTTTTTAAGAATTTGCCTGTTTTCCAAAGTGGTTGTATAATTTTACATTCCTACCACCAGTGTATGAGAGTTCCAGTTGCTTCACATCTTTGCTAACATGTCTTTTTAAATTATATCCACTCTCATAAATGTGTATTAGCATCACGTTGTGGTTTTTAAGCTATGTTTCTATTCTGAAGGGCTGGCACTTTTTAGCTTTTGCTTTGATGCTTCTCATCTAGCTTCCTACATTTGTGCAAATTCCCTCCTCTACTTTTCCTAGTATACCACCACCCCTGTCCCCTGACTCGTTCCTGATTTTCTTTTCTTTGTGGTGACTTCCAAGATCTGCTTATCTAGGAACAGAACTCATTTAGGTTTGCTAACATAATCTTTTCTACTTTCCAAATTCTGTGACTTCTTGTTGACTCTAGGCAGTAAATTTTAACTCCTGTGGGTGATACTAAAGTGCTTGTGAGCTGGAGTCAGACTGTGTGTGTCCCTGGAGAGTCACTAAACCTCTCTGAGCCTCCAGGAAAGGCTCCCCTTTCCACCCTAGTGTGCTGACTATAGAAATTGCTGTGTGGTCAGGCCATTCAAGATGGCTGTTCTCTTGCTCTCTGTACATCCACTGCTCCACCAGTCCCTGCTTCACCTGTACCCTAATTATAGAGCTTAATCAGTTACTACCCCTGTGCTTGCCCCCTACCCCAGCTGCTGGTTTCCTTGGTAACTGATGAGCCAGCCTGACCTCAATTCCACTTATAAATGGTAGCTTCCTTCTCCCCGAGTGGCAAAGATTGCTGCCATGTCTTGCCTTCTGTCTGCCGTACACAATGGGGTGTTGCTCCAGGACGTTTTGCTGCAGACCTGTAAAATGCCCTATCCAATAAACCATTGATGTCTCTGTCACTGTCTCCAGCCTCTTTTTTCGGTCTCAAGGCTGGGCAACTACAAGGTTTGCAGGCCTGCGGGGTGCAGCCCAAAAGATGCCCTCTTGGCCTTGCATCCCGCCTCATATTACACACCATCACATGACAGTGGTATGTGATCATGATTTGTGTTCATGCTGTCTCAGCTAGATTACATATGCTTAAAAGATAAGCCCTTTGCCTTTTACCTTTATATTCCTGTGAATGCCTTGCACACTTAAGTGGTCATTCAGTATTTTTCTTAGGACATGATATGTCCATGTTATTAAGATAATGCATGGAAGGCACCTACCACAGTGACTGTCACATGGTAGATATTTAGTAAACTATATGAAGAGCACTCAGTCAATATGGGGAATGTTACTTATTTCCTCACATTTAAATTGATTCCCCCCCATTTCACATATTTTGTCCTTTGGCTGATTTAGAAGCCTACTGTCTTTCATTTTGAAATAACTTCTGACTTTCAAGGAAGTCAAAAAAATAGTATAAAGAATTCCCACATGTCAACTGATGTGTCCTCAGGGCATCATATCAAGGAGGCACATGATTGATGTTCCTTTAACTGTTGTTAATTTTGATCATTTGGTTGAGTTGTCTGCCAGATTACCATAAAGTTACTATTTTTTTTCCCTTTGCAGTTAGTATCTGGTGGGGAAGTACTTCAAATTTATATAAATATCTTGTTTCTCTTCAAATTTTTACTCAGTAATTTTAGCATCCTTTGATGATTCTTTCCTGAAACAATTATGGAGTTTGCCAAATAATGATTTTTCAATTTCCGTCATTTCTTCTATTAGTTGACATTTTGCTCTAAGGAATAGCTTTCCCTTCTTCTTCATTTAGCTATTTATTCATTTGTTATTTTATATCAGTGTAGATTCATGGAATCTTATTTTATTCAATGAGTTATGATCCATTAGAATCATTATTTGTTTTGTTTGTTCCTTCTTAAACTGTGCAGATGTAAAATCTGGTGGGTGGTAGAAAGTGTGGGGAAAGGAGGCTTTGAGTACTTCTGTTCTAGTAAGAGGTGTGCCAAACAGCAGGCCCAAAGGATAAGCATTTATGTGGTTTACAGCAGCTTAATAAGGACCATCATGAAATAAAAAGTGGGTAGATTATGCTAAAATATATTGGGTCCTCTCCCTTTCAGGAAATAAAAAGGGTCAGTTGAAAGTAGTTTAGTTATTAAGGTCACTACAACTTCTCTTAATTTTTAGCAGCTGGAGATGTTTGTTGTTTTTGTAGACTGTGAAGTACGAATATGGGAAGTAAATGGAAAGTGAAATTTCAGTGTCATTGTCTTGGCACAAGATGGCAGCAGTTAGCCATCGATTCTGTAGCGCAAAGCCTCTAGAATTAACGGTGTCATTTGCTTTTGCAGGGACTTCAGTACTAGTGCTAATAACATCCAGATTGACAAAACCAAGCCTCTGTGGCACAACTATTTCTTATGTGGATTTAAAGGAATTCAGGTAAATCCGTTTATCAGGCACCTACTAGCAGTTGAGGTTATGATGTGTATTATATCAAGACATTTTATTTACTCTATCATTTTTGTCTCCTTTCAAGGCTAACTGATGTTTCTGTTCTATTTTGCTAAATAATGTATTTCAGGGAATTGGGTAGATGTGACTGTTTCTGGGTGGTGTTCATAGGGGGCTGTAGTGACTGTTCATAAGGCAGGTGCAGGTGCATCTGACAGATACCTTTCTAGTTTTCAAATCTTTGTTCAAATTTTCTTTCGAAAGATACATTCTAGTAATATTATTTACATTTTGTTCTAGGGATGTATAGGTGTATATTGTAATATGATTTAGAGCTGGACAGCCCTGGGTTTGAATCTGGGCTCTACCCTGCTGTGTTGATTTAACTTCTTAAGCCTCAGATTTGTTATCTGTGAAAGGATGTTATTATTATCCCAACAAAGAATTGTTGCAAGGATTACACAGTGCTTGACACATAGTAGGCACTAAATAAATGGAAACTTGGTATTGTTTTCTGATGTATAGTCCTGTACTCTAATTTCTGATGTATAGTCCTGTACTCTAATTATCATTGTTCTGGTCTTAGACTTCCTTCCTTCCTTCCTTTCTTCCTTCCTTCCTACCCACCCCCCCCCTTCCTTCCTTTCTTTCTCCCAGACACATGGTAACAACTTACAGGAAAAGTTATTGGCAGGTTTTAAATCTTCAAATCATTTGGCTTGTCACATGCATTAATGAGAATTACAGTATTTGGAAGCATTTGCTTGGCAAATGCAATTTCATATTCCTTATAGCAACATGCCTTTTGTAGCATATGGATAAAGTGACCTAAAGAACAAATGTTGCTTTGTGTTGTATTTGAGAATTTCAGGTCTTACAGCTTTCCTTTTTGGTTTGACAACTTATGTGCAAAAGCAGGTCTGTTTAATAAATGTTTGGCAGAGAAGTAATTTAAATGTTAGCCTGTTAAGAATCCTTCAAATTCAAATACTAGAAAGTTCCAGAGGATAATCTGTTTATATTAAATTGAACATGTTATCCTTTTGGGATAGCGCTATTACTGAATTTGGCAAAACCCATTTGCATTTTGAATCTGTTGTACATTTTAATTTAAACATTGCGTGATAAGTTTGTAAGTATGATTCACATTCAAGACACCCTGTGGATCAGTTCATGGTTAAATATATAGCGTTCTCCAAGGATTTTTTTTTAAACCAGCTGTCGGATGTTCTGTACGAAAGGGCATTGGCAACAGCAGTATTTTAGTTTATAATTTGTTTGTATTTCTGGAAAGGAAATTTTTAGGTGGTTTGAAATCAAGAAGAGAAGTACATCCAACCGAATCTCTTCTTTTGTGGTGGATGAGTTTTGCCAGGTTAGGGGAAAAAAGACAAAAAAAATAAAAAGGAAAAAAACAGTCTTTTATTTGCAGAGTTTTGTTGTTACTTTGGCTATTCTAACTAGTTTATTGAAGTTTCTCTGAAGAATAATATGTATGATGGAATGCATAATTATGTAATATAATAGTATTTTTACTTTGGTCTTGAGCCGTTTGAGTAATTTGTAAACATGATGGTACTTTTTCTTGAGGAAGAGATGACCTTGAATTTATTTATTTTATTTTTTTTTTTGCGGTACGCGGGCCTCTCACTGTTGTGGCCTCTCCCGTTGCGGAGCACAGGCTCCGGACGCGCAGCCTCAGCAGCCATGGCTCACGAGCCTAGCCGCTCCGCGGCATGTGGGATCCTCCAGACCAGGGCACGAACCCATGTCCCCTGCGTCGGCAGGCGGACTCCCAACCGCTGCGCCACCAGGGAAGCCCTGAATTTCCTTTAATTTTTTGATTTTTTGAATTTGTTTTTAATCCTAAACTACAAAGGATATGATATGCTATCATCCTAAGTGTCCTCATCCTAGGTATTCATCTAAGTATCCTAGAGCTTTCCATCTTGAGATCAGAGTCTGATTATTTCTTTGGACTTTCCTATTTGTAGAAATAGAATTTCCCTGCTTTGTTTAGAGTCTGCATTCTCATTTGTGGCTGAATTCTAATTTGGCTGTCTTGAAAGCTACCATATGGCTAATTTGTATCTATAAACCCTAGTAAAAATCTGGATTTCCTCATATAGCTGACTTACATTAAATCACAGTGACAGTATGCTGGCCCGGGTTTCTGACCACAGTGAGAAGTTCTCAACCAGAAATCAGAGACCTGGATCCTACTTCCAGCTCCCTATATGTGATCTTGAGAAAGTCTCTTAATCTGCTGGTGCCTAGGTTTTTCCATAAGTAAAACAGAACTGAGAAAGTTTGGAAGGTCCTCTGAAGAAAAGTATTCCATAAAATACTCCATAGAAACAAACCACGGCTTAGTGTTAGACTTTTACAATGACAGAGTGTTGGGATGTGCTACACAGAGATTTAACCTGCCTCACTAATAGTTGTGTATTTCTTGTCTTGCTACTTGAATTATAATTGTTTAATATTTTTCCATATTTGTTCAAATCAATTAATATTCATGAAAAAGATCATTCAAAGCAATTTTAGGAAATCGATCAGTAGCTTTTTGTTCAACAAAGTAAAAATTAATCTTCAGATTATAGTGCCCTGTGGCCAAGAGCCATTAAATAAAATGTCATGTATGGACTCGGCTAGATTGAGTTGCACAAGTTGTTTCTATAAGTAGCATAATAAGTCCATTGATAGACTTTTGCTCTCTGAGGAATGAAAGAACTTTCCACTACTCCTTGAATCCAACCAAAGTTACTAGTGCTATTTTTCCTTCTATTCTTAGGAACACTTTGGTCTTAGTGACTTGACTGGAATGAATTGCTTGGTCGATGGAAACATCCCACCGAGTTCTGGCCTCTCCAGCTCCAGTGCTTTGGTCTGTTGTGCTGGCTTGGTGACACTCACAGTGCTGGGCATGAACCTATCCAAGGTAACCAATTTGAATGAGTTAGCCTGACAGAACCCGTTCTTTCTAAAGTATTAGCATCCGAATCTCAAAATTAGAACACCTTTCTTTAATTGAAAAATTTTGTCTTACCTGAAAGGACTGCACACGTGGGCATGCACTGTAACTTAAGTTCTGCTTGTGATAAACCACAAGGTAGTTGGTACCTTCCAAAGAGTAAGCAAACACGTGAAGAGCTGTATCAAAATGCTCTTAGATTAACTAGGGAGATTGAATGCATGGTTATCTTTTTAGATCACCTCATTAACAAATTAGCTTTAGAGAAAGAAATTCTAGACTTCATAATTGGGCCTACTTATTTTCACCCAGAACCTTCAGGTAAATACTTGACAAGCAGTGGGTAAAAAGGGTAAAGACCAGGAAATAAAGGAACTGAACAGCATATCTGTTTATGCCAGCAGCTTAGTCACTGAAACAGACTTTTAAAAAAATTGTTGCACTGCAAAGAAGAAATACTTATTTAAAGAAGACATAAATCCTACAATAGGTCAGAAAGCCTCAACTTTACAAGTTCACATAAATCTCTGACTGCAGTTCAGAGCAGGTGTGCTCAGCTTTAATTAATGTTTTGGAGTTCTGGTTCAAATAAAATATTATCATAGGTCCTTTTTTTATCTCATGTACATACACTACCAAGTTTACAGATGGTTTAGGAATATAGATTGGGCATCGGGCAGATCAAGAGAAAGTCAGCCACATGCTTTAGTCTTCAGACTGCTTAAACTTTCACTTTGAAAATTTTGTATGTAAGAGAAAAGAGAAAAATGAAGGAGAAAGCAAAGGCTCAGATAGAATTCTCTTTAGCTGTCATGTGTAACTATACAGGAATTAGTCCTTTGTAAGCAATGGCTCATTTGGAGGTAGGGTACCTTATTTGTTGTTATTTGTTTTTTGAGAGGAGAGAAAGTAAGGGAAAATAAGTCCTTATGTAAAATCTGCTTCCACTGGCACTGTGTTTAATCCGATGGTTTATTTGTTTATTCATTTGTTCATCATTCAGCCCTTACTTATCTAGTGACAACTTTGTGCCAGCTAATGTTCAAGGCATTGGTGATATAATAGGTATAGTTTTAACCCTCATAGTACTTATGATCTAAAGAGGGGAATAGAGACATGTCAATAGGCAACAGTAAGAGAGTGTGATAAGTGGATAAGTCGTGTGCTATGGGAGCAGATCTAATCCACATTTAGAGAACATAGGACATCTAAGCTGAGACAGGGATTAATAGATATTAGTCAAGAAATACTGACAGCATGATAACACTGATAACATTGGATAGGCATGTTTCAGGCGGAGGAAATATCATGTGAAAATATCTAGAGTAAGAGTGATCATGGCTTGTTGGAGGAAATATAAGAGGCTCAATTTAGCTGAAGCTAAATTTGAATGACAGGGTAGGAGACCAGATGCTGGGCCTTGTAAACCAGTGTTGAGGAATTTGGGCTTTATCTGGATAGCAGTTTGTAAAACCATTGTAGCTTTCAGGAAGAGGATAACACAATCATATCTATATTTTAAAAAGACCACCCTGGCTGTATTATAAAATTTAGATTTGAGGGTAACTGTATTAGCAGTAGAGAGATGCCACTTCTAGGGAAGTGGCAGTGATAATGGGGAGAGAATTAGATGATAGATTTAAGGTACATCTCAGACAGAATCAATAGGATTCGATTGTTGATTGGATGTGGGACAGCAAAGAGTCAAGGATTATACCCTGGTCTCTGGCTTGGTGTGCTTCAGTGGGATAAGGAATATAGATGAAAAAATAGGTTTGAGCGGAAAGCAAAATGTTGAGTATGAGGAGTATGTGGGCACACTGATGGAGTTATACTGTTTAGTTACAAACAATATCTCTGAAAGCCAGGAGTAATATTTGGACTTGAGGTGGTCCATTTGAGAGTCATTAGTATATAATTGTTTTTTTTTTTTTTGCGGTACACGGGCCTTTCACTGTATGGCCTCTCCCGCCGCGGAGCACAGGCTCCGGACGCACAGGCCCAGCGGCCATGGCTCATGGGCCCAGCCGCTCTGCGGCATGTGGGATCCTCCTGGACCGGGGCACGAACCTGCGTTCCCTGCGTCGGCAGGCAGACTCTCAACCACTGCGCCACCAGGGAAGCCCTATAATTGATTTTTGAAGCCATAGGAGTGGAGGAGAACATCCAGTGGAAGAATGTAGGCACAAAGTTAAGGAAGAATAAGACAAGTTCCACAAGCATGAACATTTGAGGGATGGACAGAGGAAGAGATGTCTACCTGAAGAGACTGAGGAGTAATCAGATAGGAGGAAAACTAGAAAGGATGGGCAACAGCAAAGACAAAAGAATATTTCATGAAAGGAGTAGCAGTGGTGTCAAATGCTGCTGAGAGGTTAAGTAAGATGAGGATAAGAAATATCCATTGATTTCAGCATCAAAGAAGTTGAAGAAAACTTTGGCAAAAGCAGTTTAAAATAGGAATGGATTGAAGGGTTTATGAGAGGTGAGAAAGTAGAAAATTTCAGTGATACAAGAAGTCTAGATATGCCTGGAAAAAGAGATAATCTGGTGTTTGTGGTTGGGGCTGAGGTCAAGGAATTCATTTCTTTTTAAAGGGAGGATTGGTGAGATTTATTTTTTGCATTTTTCTGGCTTTCTGATGGTAGAATATTTAAGGGAAAAGAAGAAAAGATAAAGAAAAAGAAACATTGAACCTTTGGAATTAATTCTGGCTGTCTCTGTGTTTCAAAGTCAAAAATAGCAAATGTATTGGATATAAAAACAGACACATAGATCAATGGAACAGAATAGAGAGCCCAGAAAAAAACCCATGCATATACAGTCAATTAATTTACAACAGAGGAGCCAAGAATACATAATGGGTAAAGGACAGTGTCTTCAGTAAATGGTGTTGGAAAAACTGGATGTCACATGCAGAAGAACAAAACTGGACCACTGTCCTATACCATACACAAAAATTAACTCAAAATGCATTAAAGAGGTGAATGTAAGACCTGAAACCATAACCAGAAGAAAACATAGGTGGTAATCTCCTTGACATTGGTCTTGGTGGTGATTTTTTTGGATTTGACAGCAAAAGCAAAGGCAATAAAAGGAAACAAAACAAAACAAAAACAAACAAACAAAAAACAAATAGAATGACATCAAACTTAAAACCTTCTGCACAGCAAAGGAAACCATCAACAAAACGGAAAGGGAAGCTACTGAATGGAGAAAATATTTGTAAATAATATATCTGATGAGGGGTCAATATCCAAAATATATAAAGAACACATACAACTAAATAGCAAAAAACCCAAATAATCCAATTAACAAATGGGCAGAGGATCTGAATAGATAGTTTCCCCAAGAAGACATACAGATGACCAAAAGGCACATGAAAAGATACTCAACCTCACTAACCATCAGGGAAATGCAAATCAAAACCACAGTGCAGTATCAGCTCATATCTGTTAGAAAGGCTATGATAAAAAGGATAAGAAATAATAAGTGTTGGTGAGGATGTGGAGAAAAGGGAACCCTTACACACTGTTGGTGGGAATGTAAATTTGTATACAGCCACTGTGAAAACAGTATGGAGGTTCCTCAAAAAAATTAAAAATAGAACTGTCATATGGTCCAGCAATTCCAATTCTGGGCATTGTATTTATTTGAAGAAAACAAAAACACTGACTCAAAAAGATACATGCATCTCCATGTACACTGCAACCTTTTGTACAACAACCAAGATAGGGAAATGGCCTATGAGCATTGATGGGTGAATGGGTAAAGATGATGTGGTGTATATATATACAACGGAATATTATTTAGCCATAAAAAGAATGAAATCTTGCCATTTGTGACAACATGGATGGGACTTGAGGGCATTATGCTAAGTGAAACAAGCCAGACAGGGAAAGACAAATACTGTATGATTTCACTTTTATGTGGTATCTAAATAAAAATAAATAAACCAAGCTCATAGATACAGAGAACAGATTAGTGGTTGCCAGAGGCGTAGGATGAGGGGTGGGCGAAATGGGTGAAGGGAGTCAAAAGGTACAAACTTCCAGTTATGAAATAAATAAGTTATGGGGATGTAATGTATAGCATGGTGACTATAGTTAATAGTACTATATTACATATTTGCAAGTTTCTAAGAGAGTAAAACTTAAAAGTTCCCATCACAAGAAAAAAAATTGTATAACCATGTATGGTGATGGATATTAACCAAACTTGTGGTGATTTCATTTCATAATATACACAAATATTGAATCATTATGTCGTACACCTAAAACTAATATAATATATGCCAATTATACCTCAATTTTTTAGAAATTAAAAAAACAAAAACAAATGTACTTTACCCGAACTATCTGACTCCATTGCCTAAAGGGAACAATATGTATATCCTAGTTTTCCATGCTAGTCTAAGTTGTACTGACAATTCTTATATTTTCTAGGGGCTGAGCATAATTGTTTGGAGAGTTTCTTTGCTGTAGTAAGATGGAATCTTGACTGAAAGGAAGCCCCTAATTTGTCCAAAGTCTTTAGTTAAGTGCCAACTGTATACTTGACTCATAAAAATCGTAGAACACGAGACTCAAGGGACTTTAGAGATGAGCTAGTTCAAAATCTTTTTTGTTTTTTTTGCTGATGTACAGTATCAGTCAGTGTCTCCATAGGAAACAAATGGCACACAGGGTATAACTGAAAGGAGTTTAATAGACTATTTACAGAGGTGTGGCCAGGATCAAGAGAACCAATTAGGAAGAGTTCTCTTTCTAAGCCAGAAGCCATTATACTTCAGGAGCTGCGGCTATAGAGTAATGTTGCCAGAAATGCATCGAGGTAGGGAGAGTGAGATGGGTGGGAATAGCAGTGAATGGTGATGGGCCAGGGGAGTAGTTCACAGAAGTCAGTCTCCTGGGGTACAGAGAAGTGTGAGAATGGAGGGACAGGAAGGCAAGCAGAGAATAGCCCAC